AACAGCTGTTTTACATTCTAATAATATTTCACAATTTTTACTGTATTTTTGATCAAATAAATGCAGCCTTGGGGGTAATTTTTTATATTTGGAATGAACCAACATATCCTGCAGACAAAACGTGGTTTACAGACATAAAAATAAAAAAAGAATAAAAAAAAGAATAAAAGTAGTTAAAATATTAAAAAAATAAAATATAGTAAATAAAACATTCAAATATAATTTAAAAATTATAAAAAAAATTAAACATTAAAATAATAAATCAAAACAGAAAACAATGAAGGCACAGTCAGATTTCACTGAGAATCTCTCTCACATAATAACCTGTCAACGGATCCTGTATTTCTAGTTTCGCTGAATGAGGAATTACAAAGCGTGTATGAATTTCTGGCCTCAAGCATTTAATTCACATAATGCTTTTTAATTCTAACCACTGCTGATTATGAGTGAACTTTTACAGAGATTCCTCTATGAATCACCGTAGCTGAAGTTAAAGGACAAATCCAACAGCTTTCAATACAGAAATGTCCAGAAAAGTTTAAATGTCAGTCATCTGAAACAATATTACAGACGATTGCATTATACCGGGCGTCAGTGATCCTGCCCGACAGACGCCCGTCACGATTCTAATGCACGAGGAGCTTGATAATGCATCAGGACTCGTGTAAAGAGTGTGCTACTGTCATTAATATTTCACTACATCTGACAAACTGCAAAGGAAACAGCAGCACTTAAAAGAACAAAACGATGCACTGACCTACAATGACAATCTCACAAAAACGGCTTCAAAGATCTTCATAATGTTTTGATTTTGTAGCTGGGAGTCAAACACACACACTCTCTCTCTCTCTCTCTCACACACACACACTCTCTCTCTCTCTCTCACACACACACTCTCTCTCTCTCTCTCACACACACACTCTCTCTCTCTCTCTCACACACACACTCTCTCTCTCTCTCTCACACACACACTCTCTCTCTCTCTCTCACACACACACTCTCTCTCTCTCTCTCACACACACACTCTCTCTCTCTCTCTCACACACACACTCTCTCTCTCTCTCTCACACACACACTCTCTCTCTCTCTCTCACACACACACTCTCTCTCTCTCTCTCACACACACACTCTCTCTCTCTCTCTCACACACACACTCTCTCTCTCTCTCTCACACACACACTCTCTCTCTCTCTCTCACACACACACTCTCTCTCTCTCTCTCACACACACACTCTCTCTCTCTCTCTCACACACACACTCTCTCTCTCTCTCTCACACACACACTCTCTCTCTCTCTCTCACACACACACTCTCTCTCTCTCTCTCACACACACACTCTCTCTCTCTCTCTCACACACACACTCTCTCTCTCTCTCTCACACACACACTCTCTCTCTCTCTCTCACACACACACTCTCTCTCTCTCTCTCACACACACACTCTCTCTCTCTCTCTCACACACACACTCTCTCTCTCTCTCTCACACACACACTCTCTCTCTCTCTCTCACACACACACTCTCTCTCTCTCTCTCACACACACACTCTCTCTCTCTCTCTCACACACACACACACACTCACTCACTCACACACACACACACACACACACACAGAACAAAGGTGAATGAGTATAAATGTGCTGCAACAGATTTTCATGAATGATCCACTCATGAAGACACATGTGTAGTTTACTTGTGAGAAAACAAGAATTAACCTGTAAACAGACAATCAGACTTTCACTGGAATGCTGGTAAACCAGTTTGCCCTTTCAAACTATTTAATGTCTTATAGACATTGTGGTGGTGTGTGTCTTTGGCAGGGTGTGTGTGAGAGAGAATGTAATTCCTCTGTTTTAAAATCAGACCTGGGTATTTAACATATAATATATTCAAGACTTTTCATAACATCTGTTATTTCACTATAGTTCAGTCAATATATAGTCACAATTACAAGAAATATTTTTTTTTCACTCTAAGGCAAGATTATTATTCTTAACTAAAGCTAAAACCATTAAAACATTGCTGTTACTTGAAATAAAATAAACATTAACTGAAATAAATTATATAAAAAAAACGTAGTTTTTTTTTTCAGCTAGTAGCCAAAGCAACATTTCTTATTTTCATTTAGTTTAACTTAAAGTACTAACATAACTAAAACTGAAATAAATATGAATAAAAGCTAAAGACATAAAAAAAAACTAATAAAAATAACAAAATAAAATGTGAGCTATAATTAAAAGTGAAAACAGAAAATATCCAAATAAAATCTAATTTAAAATATCGACAAAAACTATAATAGAATCAATGATTCTAAAATAACGCCGACTGGATGTCCATAAACTCAAGCATTTAACAGCATATTCATTATATTTTTATTTAAACTGTTAATGTTTTTTATTTAATGTTTGAATAAATCACCAGCCACCATTTAATATCTACATTTCAATAATGAACTGGAGCAGAAACATAATTATATCATTAAACACAAAAACTCTTAAATGTCGGTATACAACTCAGTTTTGAGTGTTAATTATTACATCTAAAAATAAACAGCAATTGAATTTAATAGCTTGGACTTTTAATATTAAAGTAATTCACCGAGTGACAGGGTTCTCTATATAGTTTACATCTTCAGTTGAGAGAAGAAAAAAATGTCATGTTACCTGATATATATTCAAACGAATTAACATCGAATTGAATGGTGAAATTATGATGCCACAGACAGGACAGATGAAAGAGTGTTAAAGAACAATCAGACACTGAGAAACATCTGCTGGAATATCATAAGCAATTATATAAGCATTTCAAATGAGTGATATGTAGAACAGCTGACTAGCGTCACGAGGAGTGAGTTTGTGGTCTGTGTGTCTGTTTTATGAAATGCAGAAATGCTCTTAGTCGCATTTAACAGCTCAACAAACAAATGAACGTGTGTGTGTGTGTGTGTGTGTGTGTGAGTGTGTGTGTGAGTGTACGTGTGAGTGAGTGTGTGTGAGTGTGTGTGTGAGTGTACGTGTGAGTGAGTGTGTGTGAGTGTGTGTGTGAGTGTACGTGTGAGTGAGTGTGTGTGAGTGTGTGTGTGAGTGTACGTGTGAGTGAGTGTGTGTGAGTGTGTGTGTGAGTGTACGTGTGAGTGAGTGTGTGTGAGTGTGTGTGTGAGTGTACGTGTGAGTGAGTGTGTGTGAGTGTGTGTGTGAGTGTACGTGTGAGTGAGTGTGTGTGAGTGTGTGTGTGAGTGTACGTGTGAGTGAGTGTGTGTGAGTGTGTGTGTGAGTGTACGTGTGAGTGAGTGTGTGTGAGTGTGTGTGTGAGTGTACGTGTGAGTGAGTGTGTGTGAGTGTGTGTGTGAGTGTACGTGTGAGTGAGTGTGTGTGAGTGTGTGTGTGAGTGTACGTGTGAGTGAGTGTGTGTGAGTGTGTGTGTGAGTGTACGTGTGAGTGAGTGTGTGTGAGTGTGTGTGTGAGTGTGAGTGTGTGTGAGAGAGTGTGTGCGTGTGAGTGTGTGTGTAGTGTAATGTAATGGCATAAGTGGATTACACGCGTTAGGCTACAGATCACTGGCTCAAACACACACACACTGTTCTCAGTGAACAAGCAGTAATATCTGTGTCCGATCAACAACAGACTATCTGCAGTGGAAAAAGCACAAGGTCAGTGAGAGTAACTGGATCTGCTGTGCGCGCACACACACACACACACACACACACACTCAGTCATTATATGCTGTTGTGAATATGAATTACTGCACCTCTAGCAGTTGAGAGACACACACACACACTCACACTTTAAAAGCCTTTCATCAGATGATCTCAAACACACAGCGCCATTACGAGTGTGTGTGTGTTTTTAGGATAAGTGGATACCAATCCACAACGGCAGGCTGAAGCACCTGGTTGCCATGGAAACATTTCTGTGAGGTGACAGTATTAGATAAGAAATGACGTGCTACGGCACTGACACGTTATATTAGACTTTTTCTGTTATTAAAATGACCATAACAACAGTAGTTATGATGGTAACTATGGTATTGCCATGGCCTTTTACCATGGAAACACTAGATATGATGGTATCCATGGTACTGCCACAACAAAAGACCATGGAAAAACCCCTCATGATGATAACCATGGTATTACCATAAAAACAGAACATGGAAACACTAGTTTTGATGGTAACCATGGTATTACCATAAAAACAGAACATGGAAACACTAGTTTTGATGGTATTACCATAGTATTGCCGTGAACTTTTCCCAATAAAACACTAGTTATGATGGTCACTATGGTATTGCCATGACCTTTTACCATGGAAACACCAGTTATGATGGTAACCATGGTATTGCCATGATGACTATATGAGATGGAAACATTAATTATGATGGCAGCTATTATTGGCATTGCCATAAACATCTACCATGAAAACACCAGTTATTATAGTAACCATACCAAGTTGTCATGTAGATACTGATAGTGCACCGTGGGATTATGCAGCACTTTTTATAAGGCTATTGTGCTTTACCTTCATGACGTCACAGCCGTTGCATAATTATGCAAATGACGTTTACCTGAACACACACACACACGCGTTTGTTATTGACACCGAGTCAATATGTAATTAAATCACTGTGACTGACGAGTCTCGTGAAGAAATCTAGACAAACACACAGCGACTTCCGCGTCCGAGAGGAAAAGAGCCCTATGTAGTGTGACAGCGCCTCGACACCTAATGAGCAACGCTGTCACGGAGACACGGTCAGATATTTGACACTCACCTCCTCCGGTTCCGCGCCGTCCGCTCCGTTACCGACCTGAGCCATGGCGCTTGATTCCCTGAGTTCGGCGCGGAACGTTTGCTCACATTAACAGTCACACATCTGGATCCGTCCGGGATCTCCGCCTAGTGCGCTGCTGCTGAAGGCGGCTCTGCGGCGGCGGACTCGGTTCAGCCTCTCGGTACGGTCGGAGGTGTGACGTCTGGCTTACCGGACACGCCCACCGACGCGTCACGCACGCGCTTTGCGATTAGAAACAGTGTAATAATATTTATAATAATTTAATTTAATAAAGTGATAAATAATACCCCAGTTCTGTTTTACGCAACGGTTTGTGTGAACCGGAGGCAGAATCACGGGGAAACCTGAGCTCATGAATATTAATCGAGTTGATTGGTAACCTTCCTGACACATATCCTGATTAATATTCATAAGCCACGCCTCGTCCACAGCAGGCTTCGCTCATTGGCCAGCAGACTGGCGCCCGTCACGTAATTAATATTCAAGAGCCGTAGTAGGCTTCCTAAACTGAGCGCCACGCACAGTATACACTATATAATGAATGCCAAGGGTGTAGAATTTAGTAGGGACGCTAAAAACAACATAAAAGCTCTCTTTATTAAATCATGAGCATGTTGACTACAATAGCAAAGAACTTTAGATGATATGAAACTATGGTTAAAAATCTATCATACATCCGGAAATGTTTGGGTTAGTTGTCAACTATTTTTTATAGCGCCGTCAAACGATTAATCGCATCCAAAATAAGTTTTTGGTTACATAATATATGTGTGTGTACTGTGTATATTTATTATGCATTTATATAAATACACACACATGCATGTATACATTTAAAAATATGTTTTGTTTATATATAAAATATTCATATTTATATATAATATAAATTATATATTAAAATATATATGTAAATATTACAAATAATAGAAATGGAAGTCCCTCCGCTCAAGAAGGCACATGTACAGGCCCCTCAAACTTCACCACATCGAGGGGCCGATGGACAGGGCACCTGTAAAATCTTGGATCAAATACTTATTTGACTCACTGAAATGCAAATCAATTTATGACCTTTATATACCGTGTTTTTTCTGGACTTTTTGGTTGATATTCTGTTAAAATTCACTGCCTGTCAACAGTTTTTGTTTTTCTTCTGCTCACCAAGCCTGCATTTATTTAATCAAAAATACAGCAAAAGCAGTAATATTGTGAAATATTTTTACTATTTAAAATACCTGTTTTCTATGTGAATCTCTGTTAAACTGTAATGTATTTCTGTGATGCGCAGCTGTATTTTCAGCATCATTACTCCAGTCTTCAGTGTCACATGATCTTCAGAAATCATTCTAATATGCTGATTTGCTGCTCAAAAAAACACTTATTATTATTATTATTAATATTTAAAACAGTTGATTACATTTTTTCAGGATTTTTTTGATGAATAGAAAGATCCAAAGATCAGCATTTTTCTGAAATAAAAAGCTTTTGTAACATTCAAAAGCTTGGTTAGAGACTTCTTTAAAAAACATTAAAAATCTTGCTGGTACAAAATCAGCAGGGGATCAGATAATTATTTTCCCCACTGTATATATATATACTGTATATAATTAACTTTTGGTTTTCATCACATTGGAAATACAATGTGCACACGTCATTGTGATGCAGTAACAAACAGCGAGCTGCTTTCCAAGTCTGCATTTTGAAGGCCCTCAGCTGTTAATAAGTCTGAAATCACAACACAGGCACCAAAGAGTACTGAAGATCAGTTTAATGCGTATTCACACAGGTAGCACATGCGAGTGCTTTATAATACAGATCTCGGGGCGTCGGAACGTGCGTGTTACGGCTGAATGCATTCATTAAAGACAGCGTGTGTGATATTAGCAGATATAGTGTGCGTGATACAGACTCGCTAGTGTGTGTTTACTGTATGATTAGAATGTAGCTGCCCTGTGTGCAAACACACAACAGTTTAATGCTCAGGTTTAACATGTACTTGATAGTGTCACATCTGACAAACATCCGTCTAGGGTGCGTCGAACTAGATTTGCTGTATTTTCAGACACTATTTAAGGCAAATGTCCCTCAAATAGTTCAGAGCTTAACTGTAGCGTGATTGTAAAACACACCTGAAGTCTGTAAGTTCACTGCTGATGTGATTTAATGCTCTGAGAGAAAAGGAAAGGCATAAATCTGACCTGTCAGTCAGCATCAGAATCAAATCAGACTTCACCTTTATTCGTGCCTCTCTCTCTTTTCCTGCAGAACGACACCTGTCTGAAGTATCAAAAAGCACTGACGTCAAGGCATTGGGATTCATCTGTGACACGAAACCTGACGGCAAAGCTCCAAGAAGAGCTGCTGAAACACCCTGTGATTTACACTAAATCCTCACGAGGAATCGGCCAAGACGCTCTTCTTATCAGCGCGATCGCATAAAACTCTCTCCGACGGCGGATAAAAAGCCAGATTCCAGAATAACAACACAACAATAAAAGCAGGACTTGAACTCCGGCGGTGTCCTCGTGTCAGCTCCGGTCCGCACTGGAAACAGAGCAGAGATCAGTGAGACCGTCTGCAGCTGTTTAACAGCTCTTCTAACGAGAGACATGACAATATCCTCCGCAACGAACACAAGCAACATTTGAACACCAGGCTGTTCTGGAGTTCTTAAAGGGATAGTTCACCCAGAAATTAACATTTGCTGAAAATACCCTCAGGATCATCCGAGATCATCAGGTTTGTAGAAATGCAGCATTGCATCAGTGTCTCAGCAATGGATGCTCTGCAGTGAATGGGTGCCGTCAGAATGAGAGTCCAAACAGCTGATAAAAACATCACAATAATCCACAAGTAATCCACAGCACTCCAGTCCATCAGTTAACATCTGGAGAAGACAAAAGCTGAAACTAATCCAGCATTAAGACAATTTTAAAGGGATAGTTCACCCAAAAATGAAAATGACCCCATGATTTACTCGCCCTCAAGCCATCCTAGGTGTGTATGACTTTCATCTTTCAGACAAATCCAATCGGAGTTATATTTAAAAATGTCCTGGCTCTTCCAAGCTTTATAATGGCAGTGAATGGGTGTTATTTTTCAATAGTCCAATAAAGCGCATCCATCCATAATTAAAAGTGCCTCACACGGCTCCAGTGTGTGAATAAAGGCCTCCTGTAGCGAATCAATGCGTTTTTATAAGAAACCTATCTGTATTTAAAAGGTCCGGTGAGAATATGCTCATCTCGTTTGTTTACAGGAGCAAAGGAAGCAAAGTTTCCTTACTTTAGCAAAGGAAGACCAGTCCCTTGGCTTATATCGAAATCCTCCGACATTCTTCTTTGCAAATCTTCGTTTTGTGCTTCTAATTCGTGACCGGTGTTTTGTTTTGTTCTTACAGACGAGCTTACGCTACGCCTACGTCATCTGCCGTAATGAACGCGCGTACAACAGTTAGCAGAAGCTAGAGATTACGGTTTATAAAGTTTTAAATATGGATATATTTCTTACACAAACTCATCGATTCGCTACAGGAGGCCTTTATTCACCTCTGGAGCCATGTGAGGCACTTTTTATGATGGATGGATGCTCTTTATTGGACTTCTTTTGGACTATTGCAAAATATCACCCATTCACTGCCATTATAAAGCTTGGAAGAGCCAGGACGTTTTTTAATATAACTCCGATTGGATTCGTCTGAAAGAAGAAAGTCATACACACCTAGGATGGCTTGAGGGCGAGTAAATCATGGGGTCATTTTCATTTTTGGGTGAACTATCCCTTTAAAATTGTCTTAATGCTGGATTAGTTTCAGCTTTTGTCTTCTCCAGATGTTAACTGATGGACTGGAGTGCTGTGGATTACTTGTGGATTATTGTGTGTGTGAATAAAGGCCTCCTGTAGCGAATCAATGCGTTTTTATAAGAAACCTATCTGTATTTAAAAGGTCCGGTGAGAATATGCTCATCTCGTTTGTTTACAGGAGCAAAGGAAGCAAAGTTTCCTTACTTTAGCAAAGGAAGACCAGTCCCTTGGCTTATATCGAAATCCTCCGACATTCTTCTTTGCAAATCTTCGTTTTGTGCTTCTAATTCGTGACCGGTGTTTTGTTTTGTTCTTACAGACGAGCTTACGCTACGCCTACGTCATCTGCCGTAATGAACGCGCGTACAACAGTTAGCAGAAGCTAGAGATTACGGTTTATAAAGTTTTAAATATGGATATATTTCTTACACAAACTCATCGATTCGCTACAGGAGGCCTTTATTCACCTCTGGAGCCGTGTGAGGCACTTTTTATGATGGATGGATGCTCTTTATTGGACTTCTTTTGGACTATTGCAAAATATCACCCATTCACTGCCATTATAAAGCTTGGAAGAGCCAGGACGTTTTTTAATATAACTCCGATTGGATTCGTCTGAAAGAAGAAAGTCATACACACCTAGGATGGCTTGAGGGCGAGTAATTCATGGGCTAATTTTAATTTTTGGGTGAACTATCCCTTTAACTAAAATACGAGTCCATAAAAAGCTTCCTCCAGTGAAAGTGGCACCCATTCACTGCAGAGGATCCATTGGTGGGCAAGTGACAGAGTGATAAAGCCCTTCTTGGATTGGCCTGAGGGTGAGCACATTTTTGGGTGAACTATTCCTGTATCGTGAGGCTCACTATGATGTTATGATGGTATTATGATGATGTCACACCTGTGAGGCACGTGTTCGGTGGTTTGAGGCGCTTCTTTCGTATCTCGGGTCTCTTCGCAGACGTTCGTCAGACTGACGGCTGAACACAGACACAGAGACGCACTGTTATTACCACAAATTTTAACTAAACTAACACGAAATCTATTAACTGAAATAATTCATGCAGACTATAAATTAAATATATTTAAAATAATCTAATTTAATCAAAATGCTAAAAAAATATATAGAACAATATATAGAATTCATTTTTTTTTGTTAGCAAAAACTATAATTTTTAAAAGGACATACCAGGATTGGTATAGTTAACTAAAACCACAAAAAATTACTTTAATAAAAAACTTCAACTGAAATAAATTAAAATATATTTAAAAAATGCCAAGGCAACATTTCTCACTTTCATTTAGTTTAACTTGATGTACTAACATAACTAAAACAAAATATAGACAAAAATAAAATCAAGAACTGACAAAAACACAACAAAATATATAGTGTTTTTTAATATACATACATATAAATAGCAGTGTTATTTTAGTATTATTTGTATAATAGTGTAGTTTTTATTAATATTGTGAAGAAGCTTTTATTTTCATATTTTCAGGTTTCCTTTTAATTTTTAGTAATTTTGTTATGTGCGTTTGTCATTTTTATTAGTTTTTAATTTTAGTGCTTTCCCTCAAACTTATTTCAATTAGTTTCAAAGGCAACATCTCTACATCTTCGCTTAGTTTGTGTCATCTTTATTTCAATTAACGATAATGTTTTTAATAGGTTTAGTTTTAGTTAATGATACTAAGCCAGATACACAGTATAATACTATAATAATAATAATAATAAATTAAAATATAAAAAAAAACAAAAAACAAAACTGAAGATGGCAAACTGTACATAAGAGTTGATCATTAGAGTGTGAATGGTTGGATTCTGTGAGCAGAGAGACGTCTGCAGGAAATCAGTTACTGACCAATCGAAGTATCCCAGAGGGCCGTGCGATGCTCTCACGAGTGTGTTATTACCTGCTCCGGCGTCTGTCTCGCTCTCCTCCTGCAGCGAGTCGATGTACTCCTGACTCAGAGTCTCGTCGGCGTCTCCGATGAGGTAGATGTTTTTAAAGCGATGATACAACATGGAGGCTTTAAACATGATCGCCTCGCTGCCACGAAACCAGCGCATCTGACCACACACACACACGCGCACACACACACACAAGCGCACACACACACACAGACACAGACGCGCATACACACACAGACAAAACACGCGCACACACACAGACACACACACACACACACACACACACAGACACACACACAGACAGACACACAGGAAAAAGTGGTATCGGTGCATCCCTAGTGTAAACCTTAAATAAAATAATGAAATTAAGCAGGTTTATACTGGATTTTCGAGCGTCATTGAGATCCTGATGTCGCCATGAAGCCGGTAGAGTAAAGAGTCTGTGACGGACAAAGAATGAGCTGAAACACACAAACACACACACACACACACGGTTAGAGATCTACACACACACACACACTCACTCACTCACTCACTCACACACACACACACACACACACACGGTTAGAGATCTACGCACGCACACACACACACACGTCGATTCAGTGTCTGGGAGTGATGTGTGTGTCTCACCTCTGAGCTCTTCCTCTCTGCTGCTGCTGTTGTTCTGCTGTCTGTAGAAACACTCAGTTAATGACGAGAACTACAACACCGACTAATATCATAACTTTTATAACTATATGATTATATTGCAATAAGATCAACTATAACAATAACTGATAACTATAATGATAGCAATAACCATTATAACTATAACAATACCATTAGCTACGATAATGATAATGCATCTAACTATAAAAACAAATACTAATACAGCTATAACAATAACTAATGACAACTAGAACAACAACTAGCACAAAAACGATTACAAATATTACAATTAGGGCTGTCGCTAACGATTATTTTGGTTTGGTTTGATTATTCTGATGATTAATCAAGTAATTGGATAATTATAATTTTTTTTTGAGATAATAAAAATAGACCCAAGCAAACAATAGCCTTTAAAATGAATTAAAATACATATATAATAGCAATGAGGCAATAACGCATTATAACACATGCCTGACGATTGTTTTTACACGTTACTGCGCGATCTAATCCTTGTTTAATATTTACTAAACAACATTTAATTCAAATGTCCACTTAATCTTTAATATTTGGCCGTTTCTTTACGACATGAATATGTGGACATCAAAACATGCAAACTCAGAGCGAGGGTTTGAGCTTTTATTTTGAAATCGCGATGAACAGTTTGCATGTTCAGAAAGATGATGTATTCTCGGTGAATTTTCTGTGTTTTGCCGGTTACTCGACAGTTGAGGATTTTTTTTAAATCGAATAGTCAAACTAAATTGAGGAATCGTGACAGCCCTACATTACAATTATTAAATATAACAATAACGGTAACTATAACGATGACTATGACTAATGATAATTATGAAATACGTTTTTTTTTTTTTCAAAATTCCGTTTTTTTTATTTTCAAAAATTCCTTTTTAATTATTAAATTAAATGTTATTAATCAAAAAGCATGTCTAATTAATAAAATCATGAAACTTATACAATTTAAAATCAATATATTAAAAGTTTAACAAAAAGCTACATGTTTAGGGCTTTATGAAATATGTTTTATGTTTTTCTCACGTTCTGTTTTATTGTTACCAAATTCAGTGTTTAAGCACGTCTAATTATTTAAATGCATAAAAACTAATTAAAATTTATTTTTACAACAGCCCTATGAAATGTTTTTATTTATTTTTTTCCAAAAAAAGTGTGTTGTGTATTTTAATTTTTCTGGTTATCAAATGAAGACATAAAACGGTAATTTATTTGATCTTTTTATCAAATGAAAACAAACTTTATTTTTGGCAAACAAAGGGTATTTACTATTAAAATTAAAAACATGGGAGAAATATTGTGTGATTATTCCATAAAGAAATAAGTTTTAATAATTTATTAGTACTAGCAGTAGTAGTATTACGTACATTCTACAGCACAATAATAGATTTCTGACCGAACTTTTATTTTGACGGGTTGCCATGAATACCGTTACGCTTCTGAGTGTATATGACGCTAGTTTTACTGAAAACACTTTTTGCGGTTTAATATTCGTATCGCCATCTGATTTCAGTGTACTGACCTACTTTTGATTAATTAATCCAAACTTTGACAAATTCCGTGACGTTCCGCATTAAATTTGTGTCTTTGTTCTATTGTATTTATTTTCCGCTATTGCTTGTAATGTAATTATCTGTAGAAAAGATTCTTAGCACTGAGCCCATAGTAGCAGCCAAAAAAGTCTCAAATAAAAATACGTTTTAACAGCTTTATTTTTGTCATTTTTAAAAAATATTTATTTTTCTACATTAATGTATTTTTTGTAGCACAGAAGCCTGAAAGACTTTCTTGACTGTTGTCATGTCATAAGATTACTGATTTTTTGCAGGCATATTTTTTGTTGTGATTGTCCAAACTGAGGTACAGGATGTGGAAATTTCACATAAATGTTCATGTTATATATTTTGGTTGCATTTGTGAGTTAATAAAAATGTAGATGGTTGTTTAAAATAGGTACACGATATCATAACATCGATAAATCAATCGATATACTACAGAATCGAATCATATCGTAGAAATGTTTGAGGTATCTGAGAATCGATATCATTAGGGATGCACCGAAATTAAAATCTTGGCCGAAGCCGAAACCAAACACGGTTTTTCAAGTTTTTTCCCTCATGTGTTTTGACAATTTTTTTCACCATTGCATAAATTAAATTGCCAAAATGTGCTTTTTACTGTTTTGTCTTGTTTTTCAAAGAAAAAATCAATTACTTTCCTCTTGCCTCTGTATAATGCATATTAAAGTTCATAAGTTGTAAATAAGCTGCTTTGTTTACAGCGGAAACCAAGGAAATGCTTCAAGCGCCACCTGCTGGCAGAGAGTGAATCTGCATCTCATTCAGCTCGTCTGCTGTTTCTGTTTCATGCAATTACATTAATTAAATAGCCAAAATGTGCTTTTTACTGTTTTGTCTTGTTTTTCAAAGAAAAAATCAATTACAAAACAACAATTTAAAAATATTTAACACTGAACATTTTTTTTAACATTCTAGCAGACACTATACCAACAAAGCATAATTTAACTTAAAATTAGTAAGTTAGTAAAATAATATTTTTTTGGCGATCAGACCCCCTTCTTGAATCAGGCATGTATTTTTACTGTAAAATCAAAAGCAGCCTTGCTGAGCAGAAGAGACTTCTTTTAAAATATTACAGATCCCATGCTATGTGTGAATGTTATAATAAATGTATTAAAACAGAGCTGTTGTAATTATTATCATTATTATTGTCTTTCTTTTTATTTTATTTTACAGAACAACAGTAAAATTACAATACTAACATTTATGAATGTTGGAGTTCTTGCTTTTAGTCAACTTTTATTTTGGCGGAAATGCGCAGGAAGACCTCAGAGCTTCTTTTTGTTGACAGCAGATTTATAAACGAGTCTCATTACGAATACGTCGCACGTATCGCATTGTCACATGCCTTGTAAAAATTCATTAAAAAGTTACTGAGCAACTGACGACTGTATCAGCGCAGATTTGGACTTTGAACCCTGGTTAAGAAGCAGATAGCGCTGTCAGAATACATGCAATTTGTGCCTGCATTAGAAAACATAACGGCGTGAATCGAATCGTGCGTTCAAAACCATGAATCGAATCGTGCGTTCAAAACCGTGAATCGAATCGTGCGTTCAAAAGCGTGAATCGAATCGTGCGTTCAAAACCATGAATCGAATCGTGCGTTCAAAACCGTGAATCGAATCGTGCGTTCAAAAGCGTGAATCGAATCGTGCGTTCAAAACCATGAATCGAATCGTGCGTTCAAAACCGTGAATCGAATCGTGCGTTCAAAACCGTGAATCGAATCGTGAGTTCAAAATCGTGAATCGAATCGTGCGTTCAAAACCGTGAATCGAATCGTGCGTTCAAAAGCGTGAATCGAATCGTGCGTTCAAAACCATGAATCGAATCGTGCGTTCAAAACCGTGAATCGAATCGTGCGTTCAAAACCGTGAATCGAATCGTGAGTTCAAAATCGTGAATCGAATCGTGCGTTCAAAACCGTGAATCGAATCGTGCGTTCAAAAGCGTGAATCGAATCGTGCGTTCAAAACCATGAATCGAATCGTGCGTTCAAAACCGTGAATCGAATCGTGCGTTCAAAACCGTGAATCGAATCGTGAGTTCAAAATCGTGAATCGAATCCCAGCAACAATCACCCCTTCCTCTTCTCATCGGAGACATGTGATGCAGTCCTAAATAGTCTCTCGCTGTCGGTGCTTGTTTTTCTCGGACAGTTTTAAATGCTTCCACACTGCTGATATGTGTGCTGCATTATAAAGAGTGCGCGCCTCTCACTTTACGCTGGTTGCTATTTGTGACCCTGGAGCACAAAAGAAAAAAAATTGTGAATCGAATCGTGAGTTCAAAATCGTGAATCGAATCGTGAATTCAAAACCGTGAATCGAATCGTGCGTTCAAAACCGTGAATCGAATCGTGCGTTCTCCTAGATATCATATCGTATATTCGTGACGAACCCTCTGCGCTAGGGATGTAACGATTAACCGCGAGCCGGTTGAAAATCGATTTAAATATGAGTTCAAAATCGTGAATCGAACCGTGAGTTCAAAACCGTGAATCGAATCGTGCGTTCAAAACCGTGAATCGAATCGTGAGTTCAAAATTGTGAATCGAATCGAGAGTTGAAAACTGTGAATCGAATCGAGAGTTGAAAACCGTGAATCGAACCGTGAGCTGAAAATCGCGAATCGAATCGAATCGTGAGTTCAAAATCGCGAATCGAATTGTGACTTGAGTGAATCGTTACATCCCTAATATCATAACATCGATAAATCGATCGATATACTACAGAATCGAATCGTATCGTAGAACTGTTTGAGGTATCAGAGAATCGATATCATATCGTATATTCGTGACGAACCCTCTGCGCCAGTATGGAAATGTAAATATCAGGCACAGCCAAAGCCTCCTCAGTGCTGTCTGATCTCACTCACTCCGTGCTCCTGCGGTCAGGCTCTCCCTTCTGCTCCTCCTCTGCCGGGCTGCGGTTCTCGCTGCGGGCCCCGCGGCTCCTCTCGGGCCGTTTCAGCGGCTCCTCTGCGCAGGTCTGTGTCTTTCCTCTTGTAGACGTCACCAATCCCTGCAGTGACTTCAGCACGCTCTGCCTCTTCTCGGCCAGGATCTTGCTCCTCTGAGAGACACAGAGACACAGAGAGACGTCAGATCGCTGCTCCTCTGTCTCTCTGAAGCACTCTCGTCCGCTCTCACCTCTTCATCTTTCGGTTTCTTCTCCTCTTTCGTCTCGTCCTGCTTTTCAGAGACAATCAGAGCTTCGCGGTTCGTCTGATTGTGTTTATTCTGTTCGTCCTTGTCTTGTGTGTTTATTATGTCCTCGCTCTTCTTCGGCTCTTCTGGTGCAGACGTCTGCTCCTCTGTGAGCCGCTTCTTCTTTGAGCCTGTAAATTCAGCAGCTCTGATCAGATAAGAAGCTCTTTTATAATTTCATTTCCGTAATGTGACTTAGTGAAACTGAAGACTGAGCAAGAAAAATAGCAAGCAGGACTTGATTTGATTGGTGAAAAGCGAGTATGATATTATTGCTCAATATTACTCGTCATCACTGCAAACCGCCAAAATAAAAGTTCGGTTTAATCTTAAGAAATTACAGCAGAAATCAATTATTACTGTAAAACACACTTCTTAAAGTTGTAATAAAACAATTCAAAAACAAATAATATAATTGATTAATAATACTAATTAAAACTGATTGACATTTGATTACACATGCATTTTGATTATTAAAATTTAATTAAACTATTAAAACTTAATTTTTTTAAAAATTAAAATGGGAAATATAATGGAATTATTAAAATGTAAACTTAAAAAAATATATATTTCAGTCTTTAAAGAATATCACACAATTTTTTTCCGTTTTAAGTTTAACAGTTAAATTCCAACAATCAATTTTTGATTATTAAAATTTAATTGAACCGTTAAAACATAATTCAAATTAAAACAGAAAACACAGAATTTTGGGAAAAAAAAATAAATAAATTTTTTTAACTTTGATAAATTGCTGTTAAATTGTAAGTTTCATGATTACAATTAATTAAACACGCTTTTTGATTATTAAAATTTAATTTAAGCATTAAAACAGAATCCAGAAAAATAAAATAAAACAGAAATCACAGAATTTGGAAAAAAATAAAACGGCCCTCATAAGGCCCTTAAGAAATTACTTTTTTTGTTAAACTTTTAATAAATTGTTGTTAAATTGTAAACGTTTCAAGGTTTCAATTAATTAGGCATGCTTTTTGATTATTAAAATTTTATTTAACCAATAAAATGGAATCCAGAAAAATTACAACAGAAAAAAAAAAAAACTGAATTAGGGAAAAAGATAAAACAGATTTATTAAAAAAAAAACAAAAAAAAAACAAAACAGGAGAATCGAGATGCGGCAGGAATATGAATTTAATAATTTAGTTAATTTTTAAGCACATCTACCGTAGTGCTATAAATAACTCACAAAATAAAGCGAGTAAAGCCTATTAGGGATGCACGAAAAATCTTGGCCGAAGCCGAGAAAGCCTAAAAGTTTTTCCCTCATGTATTTTGCCAATTGTTTTCACCACTGCATAAATTAAATAGCAATAGCAATGAATGTTGAGGGAGTTCTTGCTTCTTCTCAGCTTTTATTTTGGCCGCAGGAAGACCTCAGCGCTTCTTTTTGTCAACAACAGCAGATTTATAAATGAGTCTCATTACGAATCGCATCGTCACATGCCTTCATTAAAATGTTACAATGCAGCTGACGAGTAACACCGTATCAGCGCAGATAACCCTTGTTAACAAGTTCGTGCAGCGCTGTCAGAATACATGCAATTCCTGCGTGTATTAGAAAACAACGTTCTGCTGCTTATTTACTAATTGTTTAAGGCCGTTAACATTCGGTGCATGATCCCTAATGCCTATTAAACAGATTTGACGTCAACGCTCCTTTAAAAGACTTGAGTTCACCTGCTGGGCTGGAGCTGTTCGTCACAGGAAGAGGAACACGAGCGTCTTCCTTCACATCAGAATCAGTTGGCGAGTGTTTCCGTCTCAGAGCGGCCGGAGTCACCGGCGTCGCAGTGATTTCGTCTGTGGTCTGGCTCAGATCCGCAGAGGAGCGCGTGACCCTCAAGGGCTGAAGGATTACAACACAAAACAACTTATAAAGCGGAGCGTTCCGGTGCTTGATTCTGATTGGCTGAGCCGTGTTCGAAGCTGTTGTAAATTACTCTACAAACACACACCTTTGTTTATGCTTGTGTGTTGCTCGGCAACCACTTTGTTGCGACATGCTTTGATCTGACCGCCACGCGGTCATGCGGTTCATGGAGCTCTCAATAGGATAGACAGCAGTTTCACTATATTTGCAGCAATTTCTAGTGATTATTAACACATCATATGTGCATTGATTGTGTATTGATAACTACGCTGACTACGTTTTACAATCGCATTTTATTCTGGGGAGTGATGAAGATACTTAGCATTAATATATTTTCTAATATGCTTATTATTGATATTACAATTAGTGTAGTATTTAGGTTTAAAATAGAGAAAATGTTTTTAAATTCCAGTGCAAAGAGGCAAATTAGAGACGTTTGGTGACCAGAAAAATAATATTCCTATGTATGTAATGCCATGGTTTAACCACTAGATGCCCGTATGGCTGTTTAATAAATATAGCCTACATATATTTAGCTCTACTCTAGTTGCAGTAAAGAGTTTTACCGGTCATAATAGCTTATTTATTTTAAGTTTTGCATTTTATATTTAGACATTATCAAACACTCAGTGTTTATAAGTTATGCTTTTTTTTATGTTGAATTTAAAAAGATGAATTACTCACATCCCAGTATTATTTTATGACATTTATGTAAAAAAGGCAGGCAAATACGGAATTTAACCTTTAATTTAAATTTAAGGCAACCAACTGCATTCAGGGAAACTCTTTCTTGTATTGCTTTAATGGGCAGTCTTTACTAAAACTCATTCAACTTCCTACAATGAGAGAAAGATTGCAAAGACTAAAAACTTAAAAATATGACAACTAGCATCTGGGTTATGATCGCTATTAAGGTGTTTCTCACATTATCTAACTGCAAATATAGCATAACTGCCTATTATCTAAAACTAAACATTAACTATAACGCGTTTCATAAAATACAACTATGGCCAGATTTCCGAGAGGTAAATTAATGCGTTAAAATGTCAAAAACTGCTGTAATTATCTCAGTTCCTATAGAAGCCTAAGGGAGTGTCGCAACTCTGTTTCTGAGGAACTATATTGTTTGGTGGAAGAATACTGTTTTTATTAATATCATTACACTTTATTTGCTCTGTTTTATTTTGTGAAACCTTAGTACGTATATGGAATAACCGTTTTATAAAAGCAATAATCCCCGTGAAGCCGTGGTTTACAGTGAATTTATAACAGCTTCACGTCGTACCTAACAGCTGTTATAAATTCACTGTAAACCACGGTTTCACGGGGATTATTGCTTTAATCTACAACTCATGTTCCAACGTAAACCAGGTCAAGAGTTGTTAATCTCACATCACACGAACCTGCTGGTGATTATGAGCGTCTATCGGTTTCTTGGTTGAAATTATCTTTCTGTTCAGCGCGTGTTTCCTGCGAGCAGAGCGCGTCTTTGCTGCTGCCGCACGTCTGGCTAAAATTATCTTCCTGGACGGTAAAATCCTCCTTCCTGCTGCGAGCGTCTTCACCAACGTCACACTCCTCGCAGACATGACTTCATCCATCCGTCTGTCCTCAGGTGTGACGGTCTTTGTCACCGAATCTCTGGAGCGCGTCGACCTCGTTACGGTTGTTTTAGCGTCTGCCGGCGCGACGGATTCAGACTTTGTTTTGCCGGGTTTCACAAGAGTTTCCCTCTTCGGCGCTGAATCCGTACGGGATCCCGTCTGGTTTTCTTCTTTCTTCTTCTTCCTGTCTCTCGGTTTCAGTCGACTCTCTGACAGTCGTTTCACTAGCGCTGCTTTCTGTCACAAACACAAAACTCATGTTCCAGTGGGTTTATAACAGCGAACAACACAAGCTGTAACACTTAGGGGTGTAACGGTACACGTATTTGAACCGGAAATCTTCGGTGCTGCTAATCTTTCAGGTTGGTGTGAATGCGCACCGAATTAATGAAGCGAAAAACTGCACGTTTGTAAGAACCAAATTCATAATATGGAGTCCATAATCCATAATAACGCTTCCTCCAGTGAAAAAGTTGAGTTAGAGCTGTTTAAACGCTGCTTGATCTGTGCAGATTTCTCTCCTGATTCAGACCAGAACACTTTTTCACTGGAGGAAGCGTTATTATGGGTTATGGACTCTTTTAGTTAAAAACATCTTAATGCTGGATTTGTTTCAGCTTTTGTCTTCTCCAGATGTTAACTGATGGACTGGAGTGCTGTGGATTATTGTGATGTTTTTATCAGCTGTTTGGACTCTCATTCTGACGGCACCCATTCACTTGCAGAGCACAGTGATGCAACGCTACATTTCTCCAAATCTGATGAAGAGACAAACTCACCTACACACTGGATTTTCATTTTTGGGTGAACTATTCCTTTAAAGACAAAGCCACAGATGTAAAAAGAACTAAGTTTTTTTCCTTTCCTGTAATGAAAACATACCAAACTGTGACTTTTGTGTACCGTTACACCTCTAATAACGTTAATTATAAACGCTGACCTTTTGACCTCTGAGGCCCACACCCGGGTCGTTCTCGATCTCCCACATGCCCTCCTCGAACCCGCCTCTTTTGATTTGTCGGCCATACTTCTCTTTGTTGGGCCAGTAGGGGACGATGTCTTTGGGGAAGAGAAACGTTCTGGAAGAGCAGAGACTGTGTTCAAAACGCAATACTAGTTACTACTAAACACTGCGCTGCCTAATAGTAAAAGACATAAATTTACATTTATGCATCTGGTAAATGCATTACCGAAAACGACTTGCATTACATTCAAGGTACTGTATGTGGGTCAAAGACGTCGTTAAAATGTCCGCATCAAAAGAAATTTACAAAAGTGATTATATGTCCATAGAAAGCACATTAAATGCAAGTGTCTACTTTTAAGGTTTCAAATAAGTGTTTGGAGAATACAATGTCAAAATTTGGTTGAAATAATGTTACATTGTCATTCAGAGTAACACTTATAGTTATGTAAAAATTCAAACAACATGCTTATTCTGACCTGTACATATTAAAATATATAAAAGAATAAGAGAGCATATTCAATTTCATTGTGTTTTAAATGAATAAAAAATCTTACTGACAAACGGGCAAAACCTAGGATAGTGGCATGTTTAAAAAATGTAAAATTACAACTAATTAGTATTTGGGGTGAAAGTAATTAGTCTTTTAATATGTTATAAATTGATTTTTTTGTTGTAAATATACCTGACAAGATTGCTACACTGAATGACATTTAATGGGTCTCTTCTGTAAATCAGGGGAAATGTATGATATTTATTTTTTGCTCTGAAAAACAAAAACAAAATTGCAATTAAATTAAACTGAAAATGTGTAATTTTTCAACAATAACAACAATTTAAAGCAGTATTACACTTACTGTTTTATGCTTAAACCCTTTTTCGTCTTTGACCCATATAAGTGTTGCAACTAACTTAAAATAAGTTTTAATTGAAGTAATAAAATTGCTAAAACTAAATAAAATCTAAATATTTTTAAAAAGACAAAAAAAAGCACATAAAATGAACACAAAAATAAAAGCTAATTATATGAATAAATACCATAATAGTATTTATAGCAACTATTAATCATTTTAAAATAATTGTTTGCATTCAAAATTTAAATATTTTCATTGCTGTAATGTATTTTTCACTTTAAAGAAAATTAGTTAAAAAAAACTGCAGAATTTATTTTTATTTTAACTTAAATTAAAAAAAAACAAAAACAAAAATACAATTACATGAAACAGAAAACTTTTTAATTAAAAAAAACATTTTTTTTTTAAACAACAACAATTTAAAGCAGTATTATTTTTATGATTAAACCCTTTTTCGTCTTTGACCCATATATTTCATCAGTTCATGCTCTCCTATAATAAAACACATGACATCAATTATGGTACTAAAGAGTTTTTTGTTTGTTTCTGTTACATGGAAACACATGCGTACAGTTACAACGTAATAAAAGCAATTGTTCATAAAGACATTTAAATTAATTAAAAAATGCTGTTCTTTTTAAATTTTCTATTAATAAGGGGTCTCACTCACTAAACGTGTGTGCACACAAATTTGTGCATGAAACCTGTGATTGTTTTAATCGTGATTATTCCAATAACTTTCACAGTAATATTCATTATAAATTGTATGAACAAATGAAACCACACATATTCAAAAATCACATACTCTGTGTGGCCTCATAAGCACTTTAAGATTAAATGTTATGTTTATCATCCTGAATATATTTCATCATTTACAGTAAAAGAGTGAGAAAAGCTGTTACAGTCAGGGTTATTATAGTTAACTAAACTAAAATCGTTAAGAAAACATTTTAGTTACTTGAAATAAAATAAACATTAACTGAAACAAAATGTACTTATTTTTTTCTGCTAGTTGCCCCGGCAATATTTCTCATTTTTATGTAGTTTGACTTAAAATAAGCATTAAAATAACTCAAACTTAAATACAAATTAATTTAAAAAAGTATACAGATTAATAAATGTGACAAAAACACAAAAAAAATGACTAAAACTCAAACCAGTTAAAATGAAAAATATAAAAACAAAAACTTTATTCAAAATAGTTATAAAAGCTATAATAGTATCGCAGTGATACTATAATAACACTGGAGCTGCAAATGATTAATGTTTGCATAAATGCGATACACACTCCTGTTCAAACGTTTGGGGTCAGTAAGAAGTCTCTTCTGCTCATCAAGGCTGCATTTAGTTGATCAGAAATACAGAAAAAACAGTAATATTGTGAAATATTATTGCAATTTAAAATAATGGTTTTCTGTGTGAATATCTGTTAAACTGTAATTTATTTCTGTGATCAAAGCTGAATTTTCAGCATCATTACTCCAGCATTTGTTCAAAATATAAATATTTTCTGACAATATAAGTCTTTATTATCAGTTTTTACCCTTGCTGAATAAAAGCATTAATTTCTTTCAAAAAAAAAAAAAACTTTTCTACGGTAGTGTATATTGTTACAAAAGATTTATATTTCGAATAAACGCTGTTCTTTTTAACTTTATTCATCAAAGAATCCTGAAAAAAGTATCACAGGTTCCAAAAAAATCTTAAACTGTTTCCAGCACTGATAATAAATCAGCATATTAGAATAATTTACTTTGGAACGGCAGTGTATATACTGCATAAAGAGAGTAGTATGATACACTCATTCTGAAACAGAATCATTAAATCTTTGATTTAATGTGTGTGTGTGTGTGTGTGTGTGTGTGTGTGTGTGTGTGTGTGTGAGTG